TCCCCTAATAAGTTCCCCTTTCCCAAGGTCCAACCATTAGGTGCAATTGTGTGTACCCTAATATATGCCCCAACTCCCATTGGTGACACAAACATGGCTATGAAGCTAGTAACTATGGCCATTAATTACAAGCATCAAACAATATTATCACGATTGCAACACAAGTATTAAACCCAAATAGTAATATATTAAAGAAACTGAGAGCTCAGGCACATAGGTTCATAAACACTTTTACCCAAGAATCTCTAAAGAATTTAGCCAAGCATGACTAAATTATACATAGCAAATATAAATAAAGAATTACAAATCATCAAAAGAGTACAAGAATTAACCAGACGATTTTCCCAAATCTCCCTAGTCTTCTTCTTGCTTTCCAAGACAACTTGTGGCTCTTGATTTCTCTCCTTCTTGTCTCCAAGAATCTCTGAATTCTCTCCGTCTCCTCTATTAGGGTTGAGGAAGGAGGGATTTTATAGTGGGTACAAAGTTGAGATGAAATAGGAATCTTGTACCAAATTGGACTCAAATTCTAATTCCTATATTTAAATAAAGAAATTGTCGTCTTTAATGATATTTAGAATTTGGAAGATTCCTTGAATTGCTAACTTTTAATATGGAGATATGAGCCTTGAAATCCGCGCAATTGATATTAGGAAAAGAGATCTCGCGCTTGTATTGAATTTTGCCCAGCTGCGCCACTTTAAGCGTCTATTTTTATCCCAGAAAAAGACGCATATTCGACGCGTCGAGAATTTTCTCGACGCGTCGAGACTTCCTGTGCGCAAATTAGTTAGCTACTGGAAAATTTCGACGTGTCGAGCCCTTGGCTCGACGCGTCGAGTCCACTGGGCCCCGAACTCATCCAAAATTGCTCCAAACTCATCCTTGAACTCCCCTTGGTCATATCTTTGACCTAAAATGGTTCAAAAACACTAACAAACACCGTAAAATATTCAAAACAAGTGCGAACCATAATTAAATGATAATAGCAAGGAAAACATGTATTAAATAAGCAAAATTAAAGAGCTTAATTACTGTGATGATTCAAAATAACCATAAAAACAAGCACAGATGTGATAACATCAGCGGTCCCACCGGGCGTGCCAAAATCTGTAAACACAAAAAGTAAATTTTGTATATATTTCACAAAATTTTGTGTACAGCTTGTGTATAATTCAATGTGCAGGTACAAAATCTCTGTGTAGTCATCTGATTCTTCACTAACGTTGTCTACTGAAGTGCCTCCGGGATTCAAATAGCGTAGCCTCCGGGATTCAAATGGCGCGTGCCTCCGGGTTTCAAACGGCGTAGCTTCCGGGGTTCAAGTGGCGTGGCTTCCAACAACGAGCGTCAAGAATTTAGAAATAATCGACCATGCAATGGATTCAAATTGCCTGCAAAATCAACAAAAAATGCATTCAAGTCTTCAAGCGTTCTTCAATGCCGTTATCTATTGAAGTGCCTCCAGGATTCAAATAGCGTAGCCTCCGGGATTCAAGTGGCGCGTGCCTCCGGGATTTAAACGGCGTAGCTTCCGGGATTCAAACGGCGTGATCTCCAACAACAAACGTCAAGCTCCGAAGCAATCAACTAAAAAGGCTTCAAGTTGCTTCAAGATCTTTAAAACCTGCAAAAAATGCATTCAATGCCTTTAATTCTTCAAGATCTTCAAATGCCTTCAAAATAGCTCTCAAATCTTCAAGCCTTCAAGTTGTCAAGCGTTCTTCAATGCCTTCAAGCTCTCAAGTCTTCAAGTTGTTCTCAATGTATTTAAGGTGTGATTTGAAGAATGGAATTGAGGCCCTATTTATAGTGAAGTTTGTAACTAAAATCCTTCAACAAACTCCACTAATATTTATTTAATTAAATTAATTAGTTATCTACTAAAATGAACCTTGCCAAAATCAAGTCTAGGTTCATTATTCTATCATCTAATTCAAATTCAAATTAAATTATAATTATCTAATTCAAATATAATAAAATCATATTATATTTAAATTATAATTATAATTATAATTCAATTATGAAATGGGCTTGGACCAATTAATTATTTAATTAATTCAATAGCCCAAATCAAATTTATTTGGACTAATTAAATTAATTTAATTATCATAGCCCAATTAATTAAATTGGACTAATAATCAACCTTGAAATTGGGCTCGATAATGATTTAATCGGTCCACTTGTCGGCTTCAAATTTTCTGTGTCTACAATTATATTCTGAGTCTTGATCTTGATTTGAAAGCTAGTGTTGCTTAAGACTATATATGTATTCTAGTTTCAAAATGATTTCCTATATTTATATTTATTGTACTTAACGCGTGGGAGTGGATTACTCAGCATTATTCGCTGACGGTTGCTATACCATATATTTTACAGGTGATGAGCATTAGCTACGGAGTGCACTAGTCAGACCCGTGCACTTAGCTTAGTTAGTTCTAGCTTTAGTTGATGGCCTGCGTGCCGTGGATTATATTTAAATATTGACTTATGGATTACACATGTTTGGATAGTTTTGCCTGTGCACCTAGGTTCTCAAACCTAGGTGTGGCATAGCACCCCGACTCATATGGATAGTTTATGCTATGTTTGGATTATTATTATTAGCCTGCCTTTATTTTATAAGTCTTTAAATATTTTTAAAAAATTAGGGGTGTTACACACACTCTCTACCAAAGGCCTTGTGGTCAAGCGACATATCTTTAGCCCCTCAGATGAGAGGTCTCAGGTTCGCACTCTAGTGTGGGGCATTGACTCTTTGTGCTTCAGTAGGTTGAGAAAGTATGTATGAAGCTATGGATGATCACTCATTGAATCAAAACTTACACACTATAAAATGCAGAAAAATGTAAGATACCATGGGGTGCTTACAATGAAGCACTAGGTTTAATGTCGATACCTCGACTTTGAATCAAAACTAACACACCATAAAATGCAGAAAAATGTAAGATACCATGGGGTGCTTACAATGAAGCTCTAGGTTTAATGTCGATACCTCGACTTAACCTCAACAGGTGTCGAACTACCTCCTTCACTCTTTCCTACTCAATTTATCACGGGCATTCCTTCAAACAAGAGGATTTACCCCCATTTCACCAAACATGTTAAATTCAATTTTTTTCCTCAGGGAGATCCATAACTAATGCCCTTTTCTTGACATCAATTATGACTCCATTAGTGGTTAAGAATGGACTTCCTAGAATTATGGGGATCGAGGAACCTTCTTCAATATCCAAAACCACGAAATCACAAGGGTGGTATCAAATTTTAAAAAACAACCAACTAAACTACATATTAGAGTCGTAAAAACATACTTATCACAAGGTCTAGCCCACCCCGCCTCGCAAGAAGGGTGGGACGAGCTTTGATTCAAAACCCATATTATAGGCGCGCTTTTTAACACGCCCCGCCTAAAACTGTGGGCTAGGCAGGACACAGCTTTCCTCCTAGGCTCCCAATTCCCACTTCATTAAGTAGATTCTGCCCATTACCTAAACCTAGCTAATTGTCCAATTGCCTTATTGCCTTTACACTTAACCACTACAAATATCTAAAAAGAGGAAATTTCAATTTTGGTCATATGATTATAGGGTTTGTTAATTTCAGTCCTTGACTTTTAAAAGTGTCAATTTAGTACCTTAACTATGTAATTTTTGTTAATTTTGGTCACTCCGGCCAAATTGCCGGCTAATTTCGCTGAAAAATTTTAATAGTTAAAATAATGAGGGTATTTTGGTCATTTCACGTCTATTTTCTTCTTCTCCGGCGAATCCATCTTTTCCTGCAACCACCGGTGACAACACAGCTCCTTCCCTTCTCCCGTTGACGGTGGTGACCTTGGACAACGGAGGACTAGGTAGATCGACGGTGACTCTTCTCGACCTTCCTCCTCTTCGGCGAGGCTGGTCAACGAGAAGCGAAGCAGCAGCTCCTCTGGGCGTACTCCGGCGACCCCTCCCAGCTCAGTAGCAGATCTACACGGGTGTTCCTATGGCGGTGGACTGGTCCTTCTAGGTGAGGTAGCAGGATTGATGGTAGTGGTGGTTGACGGTGACTTCGACAGCTTCAACCCTGGTTCTCGCGGGTGTGCAGTGGATAGTGATGACAGATCTTGGCTGGATTCCGAAGGTGAGGGGTATTATTTTGAATAAGGAAGTTTGTTATTGATGAGCAGACAAGCACTCAAGTGTACACGAGCCCAATTATTTTTCGACGCTTGAAGCACGGGCGAAACGAATAAGGATAAGGATCGTTGGTAGAAGGAGTTATGAAGGTTGAATTTAGAAGGTGCTGGGGGCTAATTTAGTACAACTGAGTACTCAGAGTTCATTGCATTCGCCGAAAAATGGTGGAAAATATGGATTCACCGGAGAAGGAGAAAAGATGTGTGAAATGACTAAATACTCTCATTATTTTAACTATTAAAATTTTTCAGCGAAATTTGACCGGTGTGACCAAAATTGACAAAAATTGCATAGTTAAGGTACTAAATTGACACTTTTAAAAGTCAAGGACTGAAATTAACAAGACCCCTATAGTCATAGAACCAAAATTGAAATTTCCTCTATCTAAAAACTAATAAGTGTGAATGAAAGTTACACCCTTCATTTTTTTTTTTTTAAAGATTATGCTATAAGAGTTGTATTAGTACATTATTTTAGACAAATATGCCCTTACCGTTATAACTTCGTTGTCTTTTCCACTATTATTACCATCCACATGCATCTACCGTATTTCTTCTAATCTTTTTCAATAATAATAATAATAATAATAATAATAATAATATTGTACATTATTATTATTATTATTATTATTATTATTATTATTATTATTATTATTATATACAATAATATATAAATAAATGTAAGATCTTAATATAGAGTAGTAATATTTGGCACTTATTTTTAAGTCGTATAGAAAGTACTAGTAAAAATATAAGCCTAAATCAATGAATCCCTAAAACTAAAATCCCATTTCCCCTTTCTTCAAAAAGAAAAAAAAAAATCCCATTTCCCCTTGTCACTTCTCACTTTCTGCCATCACACACTCACAGCTTCTCTCTTTCTCTTCCCTTCTTCAACCTTCAGTAGTTCAGTCCTTCACTTCGTCGCAGCACCGCCAGCAGCCCAGCATGTCCATCGCAGGCTCACAGCTCGTCCGTCGCAGGCTCGAAGCTAGTCTGTCGCAGCCAAAAATCCGTCGCAGCCACTCTGTCGTAGTACTCTCCCATTCTTGAGGTACATATACTTATTTTCTTGATTTGTAATTTAATTAATTTTATTTAATTATTGACTTTGTTTCATTGTAAAATACTAAAATCTCAGTACTCCATTCTCAAATTTAAGTGATTAACTGCCTCTATTTGTATAATCTCAGTACTCAATTTTGTGTTGTCTTGTTGATGATATTGTATTAAGACTATTATTCATTTGTTCCTACTTATGGAGTTTGAATGTTTGATTTCATCAATTGAGTAATTACAATATGTAACTTGTAATGGACTTATGAAATTATGATTTGAGTGATTTTAGCATTTATATATTTTTCACAAATTATCAAAAAAAAAAAAAAAAAAAAAAAAAAAGAGTCAAGTTTGGCGGGCCCAGCTAAGCCCACTGGCCTATGGCAGGGAGGGGGCAGGCTGACCCTATCAAGCCCATATTTGTGGCGGACCAGCCCGTTTTTACAGCGCTAGTGATTGGGTGACTCACAATTTACTTTCTCCAACACCCTAGATCAACAGTTTTGGGAACTTAGAATTAATCAAGTACTCAAGTATAAACTGGAAAACTAATGTGTATAAAAAAAAAGTACAATTAAAGCTTGATTGAGCCAATTGCTATGTATTGTGATGACACCTGTGTTACCATTCCAAATGAGTGGTCACATGATCGAGCCCCCGTGGTGAGGGCTTGGATTCTTTGGGTTGAGAATGATTGAGAAAGTATAGAACATATACTATATTGTAAAGAATCATGAGTATTTTTTTTTTTTTTTAAAAACTTGATTGAAAAGACGGGTGCAGTTGTGTGAATGCTTATTAATTTCAAATTTTGACTGAACCTAAATTATTTTCGCGCCAAAAAACTGAGGCGGGATTGTGAATATGGTAAACAAAAACCCTAAAATTTTTCTAAATTCTATTTGCAAAATGATTTTGGAGGAACAAAGACTTGCTGTGTAGAAGCTAGTATCATCGCAAAATTGAGTAATGGCTTCAACAAGAAAACGGAAGATCCGCAAAGATTCTCGGAGACAAACCCTGAATTCTGCTTCGGATTCAAATTATTCTCGATCACTCCAGAGGCTGCTCTCCGCAATCAAAACTCTTGAGGTCCATTACTTACATATCTTTTTTATGTATGTATCCATTTGTTGTACAAGTAAAAATATAGTTTCCGTTTTAAATCTTATTTATATTTGGTGAAATTCAACGATGATGAAGTTGTTATTTTAGAAGTGAGTTTTTAGTTGAAAAACCACATTTCTTTGGATGTGTGGGTATAACGGTGAACCTAAAGGAGTCTGCAGCTTGTGGTTAACTCCAAAATTGACAAAAGCTCTGGGTCCAAGGAGTGTTTGCTTGTTAAAGTTTTATTCTTTTGTATCCCCTCAAGCTGCACTACAGTGAACCTAAAGGAGTCTGCAGCTTGAGGGGATACAAAACTCACGCACATGGAATGGGATGGCTGATGTATGCAGAAAGAAATGTAGTGCCAAGAGATAAAACTTTCTAAGTATTCAGACTTCAAATGATCTAAAACATGGAAATTGACATAATCGGAGACTTTTAGCTAAGTTGTAACTTGTAACATATTTTTCATTTATGTGCAACTGCAGGGCATAAAATCACCCATCTTGAAGAGTTTGTATTGTTTACTTGTCCATATGTCCACAGATTCCCTCAGCAAAGTTGATGTGAATGATCTACGAGTGATTTCTGACATTTTATTCAAAGAACTATCGTTGAGGTTTAACAGTATATTCTCTTCTCTATATGATGTTTGTACAAGCAAGGATCTTGGACAAGGTAGCATACATGTGAATTGTACAGTTGAAGTACTAGTCTTGCTGTTAAGGAGTAGTATGGCTATTCTGGAATTGCATATATATGATCATAACGTTGTTTTGGAAAAAGGCGGGATTCTTTTGAAGATACTTTGTAAGTTGTGTTCCCTAAACTTACCAAAGAGAAAAGACAGGAAAGATATTAGTTTGCAGAACTCAGTTTTTCATGCGTGCACATATGATGATGATGACTTCAGAACCACTTCAAGAGAGGAACTTGTTGCTTCGCTTCATTTGTATGAGCCACCTAATCTTCAAACTTCATTTGCAATTGCTATGTTGGAGGTATGTATGCTTGTGCAAAATTTTGTTGTTGAATTTTGAAAGGAAGAATAAAAGACTTTCATTTGTGATTGCTATGAATATAAAAAATCTCAGTCATGGTTTTATATTTATGGCAACATAGTCTCATGTGGCAGTAGAGTGCCTTGATTGCAAAGCATATTACAAATATGATGAGATATAACATAATATTCGACTCCTATTACTATTGAAAAAAAGATAATGCTTCAAGTTATTTGCCTGGGAAGAAGAGGCCAAGACCACATGCTTCATAGTGTTGTAGTATATGACAGTATATGGTTGCATATATTCACTCATAAGTGTGTGTGTGTGGATACAAGTCATACAACCATGGGTATGCATATTCTTTTACATATTTTCTTAATAGGAAATTGTATTACCTTAAGCATACTGTTTGAATTATACTCTTGAGTCTAGATAGTTTAAATTTGATTACATAAACATTGGGGGTACTGTATCCCCTCAAAATCTCCAAATTACATGTTTTTGTATAGTTTACTCTTATATTGCTTGCAAAAGCAACTGTGTATCATCATCCTTATTGAGGGTTCTGCTTTCAGTGTTCTGGAATCAAACTTATGTTTCTGTTGATTTGCAGATGAAAAGTTTGATTATTCATGTTGATCCTTATCATGATCTTGATAATCTACATTCATTATTGAACCAGTTATTCATGAATTTCACTTTTTGAGATCTTGTTGAATACATTTGGAAGTTCAGGATTAAGGCTTAGTTGAGTTCAGTCCATTAGGAACCTTGATTCTAGCTCTTCTCTAACATGACTCTGAGTTGTCTAGAAGTCTGAGCACATGCTGACATGCATTAGTTTCATACTTTCATGACACTCATTTTGCTGAATACTTTTATAAGAGAATATTTGCTATTTTTTTTTTTTTTCTTTCTTTCTTTCTTTCTTTCTTTCATGTTCCTAATTAACATGGACATTGTATACTCAGGTATTTCTTGATGAGCTTCTGGTGCATGGCAAATTACGTGCAATATTTAGGCTGATTGACTTATTTTCCTCTACTAGTGAAACCTTGTTTATACCTCAGTCCACTCAGAAAGATATTAGTTCAAAGAAACGTCAGAGTGATATTGGATTCCTTATGGAACTTGTTTCCACTTGCTTTCTCCTATCATTTTCTGGTGAAAATGCAATTGAAGAATTTCTTTATAGACTTTTCCGAGCACAGAGGAAGGGCTTCAAATTCTTTATAACTCCAGAAGTGAGTCTGACTGCGGCCATATCATTGCTTCTCAATCCAATTGTTTTTTCTGCCCCAAAAATTGTGCAAGCATACGTGGTTTCATCTGTATCTGAAGCCATGAGTGGTTTGATGGATGTTCAAAACCTGAAACCAAACTGTAAACTTCTTGACTGCTTTCTCTCAGTGTTTGAAAAATCAGTCAATATGTATATGAAACTTATATCCTTTGTACAGATCAATGGTGACTGTCCAAGTAAATGTACGTCTTTCGTCAACTCAAGCACATATAGAGGGAACTTTCCTCCACCTTTTGAATCTTATATATTGCCAAGCACACAGGAGAAGATAAACTCTCTGATTAAAAGGTTTGAGCGTTCATCAGATTCATTCTTAGGCAACCATTTCTTTGAACTGAAATCTGACATGACCAGTTCGTGTATTGCATATGTGAAGGATTGCCAATATCTTCTGGACCAATCATGCAAAGATGATGTATTCTCAATTATAAGTTGTCTGATTTTAAGAGCATCAGTGAGCTTTGATGAAACTGTAAAACCTGCAATCAAGGGTATGGACCTTCAGGCTATATGTCTCCTAGTTTCTGTATTGAAGTTAATGGGCACTTCTTTGCTGCGTGCTATATCATATCTCCGGAATGGTGAAAGTTATGGCTCTTTCAAAACCTTGAAAGACTACTCATTGTGTAAGGAGTACATGTCTATTTTGGGTTCAATTAGCTGTTTTAGTGAATCCAAAATACACTTTCCAGTCCAACAGTTCTTAAGTAACATAATGGAGACGAATTCCATCAAGCACAAGGATTTCATGGTGATGCTTCTGCATTTTTCAGGCATGCTTGCATTTAGTTTTTTAACGAGGATTGGTTGCTTAGCAAATGGGTGCTTGTTAACTATCACTGCTCTGGTGAATTTGTTTGTACTTGAAGAGGGTTATTTAGATGAGTTGAGGTCATTAATTGTTTGTGGCTCAGACTCCGATTCCTCTGCATTACCCCTGGTCAGAATCCAAGAGGTGAAAGTTTGTCTACTTTTTTCCTTATAAAAATATAAGTAATGCGAAATATGTTGCAGCTTTCTCAGCTACTATTTGTGATGCAGGCAGTAATGGACCAGAGGCCTAGCATAATGGTTGCATCAAAATTTCAAAATATACAGAATCTGTACTTGAGGTTCTGATCCATTCTATGTATTTTAAATGAGTTTGTTGTTGCAGTCTGTGTTTTACTTGATCATTTGCCTCTTTACTTTATTGTTTCCGCTGTAGTGCTTTATCTTCAAAATTTTGATTTAACTTCATTCGTTGTTAAGGCGTATTCCATATATCTTTAAGTGAACTATTTTCTTCCCTTCTTTTGCCTACTCTTTCACTACTTCCCTCGACGCCAAGTTCAATTCTTTATTTCAGTACTAAAAATGCATCGTATCTCTGTATTGGCTGGCGTTTATTGCATCAGAAAAAAAGGAAAACTGTAAAAGTAACACATTTGTTAGGGAAGGCCTAAATATTTACTATATTCAAGTCCAGTTTTAGTTCACTTTCTGCTCCGATGTTATGTCATGTTTGTTAAGAGTCAGTCCCACATTGAAAAAATAAGAGAGAACATTTGGGTTTTTAAGGTGATGGATTAGACAAGTTAATTGATTGGATTCTGTCTTTCAGTGTGGTTTGAGCCATGTGCATTATAGCCTAGTTGAGTGATCTTGCCCCATAACAATGTTGTCTTCTAAGATGACCATTAAGTCCGTGGTCATGGTTGATCTATACAAACTCGAACTCCTAACATTTGTTTTCATAGGAAGTGTTTTCCCCATTGGGACCTAATAGTTAAGTTTTGGTGGTGTCTATTATTTTGTTATTTGTAACGAATGATATGATTTTCTTGGTTTCATGTTGTCAATGCTTTTATATTTGCTTATTCCTTGCATGCTTCAACTTTTTGTCAGCAAGTCAAAGACTACGGTAAAGTATTGTGGCAATGTGGAAGATGGATGGGCAGAGAGTTCATCATCAAGTGCTTCTTGTTTATTTGACAAAGAAGAAGAAATGGTGAGTGTTGAAGAGGAAACGTTGAATGGTGAGATCTTTCTGAGGTGCGTGGAACCCAACGCAAAAAAAGACTCTGATTTTGGTGAGTTAGCTGATTTTATTGAGTGCAAACAAGGGAAGGACTATGCAGAGTGGCTACAGGATAGAGAAAAATATAGAAAATGGAAATCTAAAAGGACAGCAATGTTAAGATGGAAGAGAAAGAGAAAGACTTGGAAAGTTTGGAAAGGGAAAAGTAGTACTGGGTTAATGGTTTCTGAATTTCCATGAGAAAATTATTCATCCTTAAAGTGGTGCAATGCAGAGATGTTGGATATCAACACTCCAAATGCTCAGGGAATGGAAGGACATATGTATGGAGTGGGGTGGGGTTGATGCTACTTCAAGAGCACCACAGACAACTCACAAGAGAAGAGAGAACTTGGTTTATTGGGAAAATTTTCTTCTACATTTGGGTGGGTGTCTTCTTTTTCTTATTCCACTTTCAGGGAAAGGAAAAGGAAAAGTTGTTCTCACTCGGCTAGCTCAATTTGTTTGACTGATCACTTTAAAATTTTATTTTAGTAACAATGTCGGGGTTTGAATTCTTTGAAACTCTTAGAGTTATTGGGAGAACTTTATTGATCAGAGGTGATAAAAACTCTTTGTGCATAGAGTGTACCAGTACCGGATGGGAGCCGTTATCATTCTTGCTGAGTTGCTTCCTACTTGAGTTTTGACATACTTTTAATGAGATTATATCTTAGATATCTTAGACCTTGTAGTCTTTTCTCTCAAGTATTTTAAATGTTATCTTCAATGATTTTTCAAGAAAATTTTTTTCCAATGGGGGCATTGACTCTTTGTTCTTTAATAGGTTAAGAAAGTATGTATGGACCGATACTTCATTGTAACAGAGTTAGAAGTACCAATTTTATTTTATTTTTAGTTTTTCCCTTTCATTTTTACTCTTTGTTTTGTAATAAGAGGTAAATAAGTTTTGAAATTATTTTTAAAAAGTAATTAAACCATCAAAACAAATTGATTTCGTCCAGGATAAACACGGATTAAAAAAATATGTGGTGACATTTTGGTAATTTTGTGTATTGTGTGAAACTTAAGGTGTATATTTTTTGTGTTTAGGTGCGTTGTTTTAACACTTAGGGGGCGTTTGGTTCAGGTTATATAACATAACCAAGAGAATGTGACATTCCAAAGTTCACATTCCTATGTTTGGTTCATATTATCTTATTATCTTAGGGAATCTAACATTCATAAGGAATGACACATTCCCTCCACATAGAATTTTGAAGGAAATGTGATTCCCTTCAATTTCTTAGGTTATATAAGATAACCTTGGTTATGTTAGTTTATTATTATTATTATAATATATATATATATATATATATATATATATATATATAATTATTTTTGTAATTATATATTTTTTATTTATATTATGTTATGTTAGCATATAAAATAATTTTGTTTCTCAAGTTTAAGATTTTAGTTAATATTTTAAAATCATGTAATTATATATGATACCGTTATCTTATTTATTTATTTTAATTTTTAAATTTATTAAAAGATATGAAAATATGTTAAGGATATTATATTGTGTGTATAAAAGATAACCCTAAACCAAACATGATTATATTACATACTCCAATTTTAACCAAACACAGGAATCTAACATTCCCAGGAATCTAACATTTCCTAAGGTAATCTGATATTCAGTGAACCAAACGACCCCTTAAGGTGTTTCATTTTAATACTTAAGGTGCGTTAGTTTTACATTTTTACACTTGAGAACTTAAGGTGTGTCATTTTAACACTTAAACTGTGCAATTTTAACATATAAGGTGCGTCAGTTATACACTTATGCATAAGTTCTAAACTTAGGTGCATCATTTTAACACTTAAGGTGCGTGTTTTTTCAACTTAAGGTGCGTCTTTGTAACACTTAAGGTGTGCCATTTTTTAACGTTGAAGGTGCTCCATTTTAATACTTAAGGTGCGTCATTTTAACACTTAAGCTGCGTCATTTTAACACTTAAGATGAGCCATTTTTACACTTTGTTTCTGTTTTTTCAGGACACGCATTTTTTTTTTTTAAATATTGATTTGAGTCGTTGATCTAGATTTGATCAACGGTTCATCTCACTGCATGTTTCGCGTAGGACCTCCTTCGCACCAGATCTCATCCCTATATATATATATATATATATATATATATATATATATATATATATATATATATATATATATATATATATATATATATATATATATATATATATATATATATATATATATATATATATATATATATATATATATGTTTAGGATCATGTAATGACTCTCTAGGTAAAAAATGCGCACAAATCTCAGCCATTGAATTATCCAGATCTGTGACACCCCGAAAAATTATCATTTAAACGGAATTGATTGTCTAATTAATTCTAAACTTGCTTTATAAATTCTTTCCTAATTCCATTATATTATATAGTTGAAGGACCTAAATTGACTAGGTTCCTTAGCCAATTGAATGGACATTGTGTCTTATGCTTTATACTTAGCCTTTAAATTCTTCCTAGCCCTTAAATTGATTAAAAGGGGCCCACCTTATAAACTTTTCAGATTTTTTTGCCTAGAAACCCTACCCCAACCAAGAGAATCCCCAACTATTTCAACTTTTCCATCTCTCTCTACATTTCTCTCTACCTTCTCTTTAAAAGCTTAGCTAATTTCCCAAGCTAGACTAAAACTCACCATCAACCTTGCAAGAAACTCTCCAAGATCCTAACTTTCATCCACCAAAACCTCGGAAGGGTAAGTCCTAAGCTTGGCTAGTGTTATTTCTTAGTCTTTCCTTATCTCTATCTAAGTTTTGTGTTTTGTTGGGCTTTGGTTGTGTTTGGGAAGATCTTGAAGAAGAGGAATTTCAAGGGGAAGTTTAGGAGTTGGAAGGAGTATTCCCTAGGCTACAAGAGGTAACCCATGTTCTACAAAACCTATTTTATGCTCGATATGATGATTTATTGATATTCTTGATGTTCTTGAATGAAATTGTGCATAATCTTGTGTTTATGCATGTTAGAGCTTGTGATTTAGGGTTCATAAATGTTATCCTTTGAGCTATTTAATGTGTTCAAGTTCCTTTGTTGATGAGTGTGTGTGTTGAGGTGTTTTGGACTTGAACTTGTGCATTTTGGCAATTTTCCCCGAATAGAATTTTCTCCCTGTTGACGGTACCCGCGGGCAGAACGGCGGGCAGTGTGCCACCCGCTGAATACAAGTGGTGAAGGTGGCGGGGGAGGGGGGGGGGGGGTACACGCGTGGTTGCCCACCCATGGTACCACCCGCTGAGTACGTGGTGGGGAGGTGGTGGGTGGTTGACTACCCACCGTACCACCCACTAGTACGTTGTCTTTTGGCCTCCGTTTTGATAAATCGTTGTGCACTTGTGTGTCTTGATTGATGTTTCGTAAGTCTAGAACGATGTCCTTAAGTACCGAAATAGGACTTGCGGGTCTTGAATCGTGTTCATGATACAATCTTGTGATTCGTTGGATTGATATGAAGTAGATGTTTTTCGTACGAGCCTTATTGATGGTCTTGATTGAATTGCATGCTAGTTACATTGATTCGTTGGTACTAGTATGTGTTTACCTCATATTGATCTTGCCTATTATTGATGAGGATTGGTGACTTCTGTTACCAGTCGTTGTGAGCCTTTGAATTGGAAGCCTTTCGTTATTGTGGTATTCCTTGAAATGTTTCCTTCGTATTTTCTCTTGAGTTCTTCGATTGAATCTATCGTTGTGAATTGGTACATATGTTGTACATTGCCATGTTTATTCCTTGATTCGGGCTAATGATGCGCCTTGATTATCTTATGTCAGTGATTGTGTGACTATGTGTATAAAAGCTGGCGGATACGAGCTGCGTGCTCAAATGTTTGGCGGTAAACTATCACGTGATATGTTATATAATGAAAAGCAGGTGGAGGAGCTAAGTCTCCATATGGAGGGATAAGGTTGGACTGGTTGTATAGGATGGCCTGGAGGTACAGGTTGGAACTGTTATAAGGATGGAGAGGAGTAAAGGTTGGAACTTGGTATAAGGTTGGAATGTGAAAGTGATAATTGATTGTGTTTATTGAAGTTCATTGCTTATGAGCATCTCCTTATAAGTGACCTTGATGATGGTTTATTGAATACCTTACCATGTTTATTGTTGAATCCGTATCTTTGTCTTCTTGTGATTGATTCCATTATTTAATCGTTGATGGTCAGTTGATTGAGAGTGTTCTATAATGAGTTATACGTTATCTCTACTCCTTGTTTTAAAGCTAGCGTTGCTAAGTTATATCCATGTATTCCAAGTCTCAAATGATTTTCTTATATCTATGTTATATCGTACTCAACACGTAGTAGTGGGTTACTTAGCATTATTTGCTAACGGGTGCTACCCCTTATGTTTTACAGGTACAGAGTAGTTCTCGTTCGAGCGCGCTAGAAGAAGACGTAGTTTAGGGTAACTTTCTTGTATCTCTTAGTCCAGTTAATGTGGCTTGTGTGCCTAGACTTTAGACATGAGAATGTTATGACATTTTTGGATTAGACTTTTGCTAACCTGTGCATCTAAGTATGTTGCTTAGACGTGGCATAACACCCTATACGGTTTACTTAGCTTTCGCGTTTTATGATCTTTATGGTTAGATTGCTTTTACTATTTAAGTTTTAATTGTCTTAAATTATTGCCCAAAATCGGGGGTGTTACAAGATCTGATGCTCTTTTTTAAAAAAAAATCATTTCGAATTAATTACAATTGTGGACTTGAAAGTTCAAAACTATGCACTTGAAGATACAAAAATATGCACTTGAAGACAAAAATTCTGCACTCGAAGGTAAATAGATGTCTAATTGATGCAATTTATGGCACCAAAAATGGAAGTTATTCAACTTAAGTGTTATTAAAGAAATTACCCATACAAATCGTTTGTAAATCTCACAAATTTCATTAGAAATTTAGTTATAGGTTATTGAAAAGAATGCACAAGATATAACAAATAATGTCAAGAATTGTGCACTTGAAGGCAAACAAATATGCACTTGAAGGCAAAAAAATATGCACTTGAAGGCATAAAAATGTGTACTTGAAGGCTAAAATCATGCACTAGAATGAAAAAAGGGTTCACTTGAATGCTAAGTATTTTTTTGCTACACAATAGTAAGACACACATACACTTGTAGGCATTAAATTGAGCATTTGAAGCCATAAAGATGTTCACTAGAAGGCAAGGGAGAAACACTAAAATTGAAAATTTGAAGGAAATTAATTGTGCACTCTTAGAAAAGAAAACATGCACTTGAAGGCTACAAAACGTGCTGTAAGCATTGAAAATTTAAATAATGCTATTGGGCCGCGGTTGATATTTAATTCTTAAATTAATTACTTTAATTAAGTTAATTGGACTAATATTTATTTAATTGGATTAATTAAATGGCCCATTGAATAATTAATTGGTTTAATTACTTAATTAAATATAATCGAATGTTGGATTGTTCGGCCCAAGTTGGTGAAATATTTAATTAAGTTGGACCAGGCTGCTTGGATTAATTGGGTTGCCTAATTAGCAGGTTTGACTTGGTCTTGGCCCATCAAAATTATATGTGGATTACATAATTTTGAGGAAATTGAATTATTTGATATTATTTGAAATTTAATGAAATGATGAACCTGGACACAATGGTGTCCCGATACATTATCTAATTTAATTAAGATAATTAAATTAAATTAAGGGATAGAGTTGGTTAGAGATTTCTTCTCTACACCCACCACTATAAATAGTGGTTTCATTTTCAAGAATGAGAGCTCTGGAAATCTGCATACTGAAGCTCTGCCGAAATCTCGCCAAGAATTGAGGAGTTGAAAATACTCGCCAAGAATGAGAGCTCTGGAAATCTGCATACCGTCCAGCCTTCATATTCCTATGCTAAGCCCTACACACAAAGAATTGAGGAGTTGAAAATGCCCTACGATTATCAATCTCCTAAGTTTCAGCAATTTGATGGCAAAGGAAATCCCCGACAGCACATTACCCACTTTGTGGAGACATGCAATGATGCCGGGACTTATGGTGATTTGTTGGTAAAGCAGTTTGTCCATTTATTAAAGGGAACTGCGTTTGATTGGTACACCGACCTCGCGCCCGGCTGCATCTATAGTTGGCATGATATGGAACGTGAGTTCTTAACCTGCTTCTATAGTACAAGGAGAACGGTCAGCTTCTTGGAACTCACTACTACTCGCCAATGGAAGGGCGAACATGCTGGTGCCTACATCAAAAGATGGAGGGAATTATGCTTGAATTGCAAAGAAAAATATCCCAAAGTTCTGCAATTGAGATGTGCATCCAAGGCATGCACTTCGAACTCTCCTACATCCTGCAAGGGATTAAGCCAAAGACCTTTGAGGAGTTGTCCAGTCGCGCTCACGATATGGAGTTGAGCATCGAAGCTAGTGGAGGGCTCAACATATTGAACCTGCCTAGCTCCTCCAAGGCTCCTGGAAAGCAAGAAGTCAACAAAGTAAATAAACCATTTCCAAAGCAAGAAAAGAAGGAAGTGATGAATGTGAAGGCTACACCAATGACAGTCTTCACTAAGGCAACTGAAAGGCCTAGGCCAAGATCATTCTATAGCCCTGGCCCGTCAAGGGGTGGTAGGAGGCCAACAATTGAAGAAAGGCTGGAGAAGATTTATCCTTTCATGGATTCCGATGTATCTCCCATGTTTGACGAGCTACTCAAACTTAGATTCATTGAGTTGCCAGAAATGAAAGGTTCTATTTATAGCTGTAGGATATAAGAGTTTTGATAAGCTTAAACTCTTTTGATATTATCTAATTAACAAATTAGATAATATCAATATTATTCAAAATATATCAAATATATTCAAATATACTAATATTGATAAATAATCATATTTATCAAAATTTCAATGTCAACAAATGCCCCCTCGGGACTTGCTTGTATGTCACTTGAGAGCGTATACAACTCTAAAGTATGTAGTGCAAGGAAGTTTCGACACTACAACTTTAAGATATAAGGCCGTTTCAACTCGTTCCAAGGAGTATCTTGAAGGATATGATATGAGGTATTTTCAACTCGTACTAAGGAGCCTTGAATGATATGAGGTCATTTTAACTCGTGCCAAGGAGTATCATTTAGCTTCCCTCATTTCAAATTTCATATGGGGTTTGCCCCCATACCGGTTGAATGGTATGTGCCTATGAAGAGATGAGAGGCAGAGTTGTCCCATTGGGCGTGCCAATTTGTGAACAAAGAAAATTGAATAATATATATTAGGAATAAAGGTCAAATAGGCCACTGAACTGCACACGAGAATGCAATTAGGCCACTGAACTGCACACGAGAATGCAATTAGGCCACTGAACCTAAAAATCTACAATTAAGTCCCTAAACTAACCAATTTCATTCAATTTGTCAGGTTTCTCAAGTTGCTAATAGGTTACCCCTCCACCTAGGATGCATATGTGGCATTTCAAAAATAATAATTTATTTTTAAATTAATTTTTTTTAATGTTTAATAAATAAAGACTAAAATAATTTATTTTTAAATTAGTTTTTTAATGTTTAATAAATAAAAACTAAAATAATTTTTTTTTTTGAAAATAAAATCCAAGCCTTGTATGACGTCTTAACAAATTATTTTATTTAAAAAAAAAAACAAATTATTTTAGTTTTTATTTATTAAACATAAAAAAACTAATTTAAAAATAAATTATTTAATTTTTATTTATTAAACATTAAAAAAAGAATTTAAAAATAAATTATTTTTTTAAAAAAAAATGCCACGTATGCATCTTAGGTGCAGGGGTAACCTGTTAGGAACTTGAGAAACCTAAAAAATAGACAAATTGAATGAAATTGGTTAGTTTAGGGATCCAATTGTAGGGTTTTTAGGTTCAGTGGCCTAATTGCATTCTCGTGTGTAGTTCAGTGGCATATTTAACCCTTATTCCTATATATTAATATTCAAAATTTAGTTACATGTCAAGTATCAATCCGGTGTGGGTACAAGTCTCTGGATGGTCCTCTGATTCTTCAATTGGATGCCATGAACACTCCACCATTGAAGGGCCTCCGGAATTCAAGTGGCTTGATCTTCAAAGAAGGGCTGGTATATATAGCTTGTTCTTCATTGAAGGGTCTCCGGGTTCAAATGACTTGATCTTCAATGGAGGATCAACGGGCATGATTGGATTTCGGCCTGTGCACGGATCGGGTTCGGACGGTTCGGTTCCCGGACTAGTCCACCCGATCGGATTTCGGTTTTCTAAATCAAGATCCTATCCGACTTTTTTTTGTACTATACTCCATTCGGGTTTAGTTAATTCGAATTTCGGACGGTTCGGATTTAAGTTCGGGTTAGTTCGGATTTCATATTCAATAATTTTTTTTTAAAAAAAAAAAAACTAAGTAAAATTCCATATCATTTATGTCAAACTGTCAAAGTACTTAGTTACAACTACTTAGTACTTACAAATGACAAAAATACAAAATGCTTTACAAAGTCATTGAATCATGATAAACTGATAAATGTTAATGACAAAAAATTCAAACATCAGCAATTAAGCATTCAGCAAACTGCACCAATCAACATCTTCCTGTGAACAAAAATACCATAATCATAATGTATTGTCTATTCAGCCTTCAGCAGTTCAGCTTTCATGATCTTCCTGTACAAGTGTGTGTAAAGACAAAACACAAGTTAAATATAACATATTAAATACTTTGGGGATTGGGGCTGTTGGGCAGAAAAATTTAACTATGGAAGGCTCAGATTGCTATGTTTTCATGTTAAAGTAAGATTGGGGGCAAATTGCTACTTTTAGTATTGGAATGCAATTATGCAAACCAAAACTAATGAGCAACATACCAACCCAAAACCATTTCAGACAATGGTGGAAGCATCATCATAGCCAAATCAGTAAAGACTAAAGAGAAATAACATACTGAGCACTTGAGAATAAGGGACTAAGGTAGAGTGACTGTTATTACCATATGAGATGACATTCATATAGGCAGTCGGCTGATACTGCTGGGGTCATACACTCTACAGTCATACTTATCATAGGCAGCAAGAAATCCAACAATTGAATTGTTAGTCAGTTACCAAGCCATTAATCCATAGGCAGCAACAAATCCAACAATTGAAAATAAAATCAAAATTAAGTGTAAATAAAACATTACAGGAATGGTAGGAAGGGGAAAACCAGCAGCACCAGATACTGTGGTTCCAAATCGACTTACTCCAGTAGCCAAGTCTGCAAAGTGCAAAGTTAGAATTTGAATTTGAAATGCAAAGTTAAAAAGGTAAAAACGGAATTACCTTGTTCAAGCTTTTCAACATCATCAATATTTTCCTCAACCTTAATGGTTGATTTGGTAACCTCATCCAGTCTTGTGCACATACTAAGGCCTCGACAATTTTAGGAGTTAAAGAACTCCTAAATGCATCTAATACCCTCCCACTAGTACTAAATGTACTTTCTGAGGTAACAGTGGAAATAGGAACTGCTAGGATATCCCTTGCCATTTTGGAGAGAGTAGGAAACCTCTCACTATTTAGCTTCCACCACCTAAGGATATCAAAGTCAGGAGTGTCCTCCACAATTTTTTCACTTAAATAGACTTGAAGTTCTGTTTCTTTATAGCTTCCACTAGCCCCTATTTTTTGCCTTTTTAGTTTGTTCTTTAACATATTTTGAGGTCTACCAATTGTGGCATGAGACTGGACAGGAGGCACATCTGGTTGGCTACCAGAAGATGAATCAGAAGATGATTGTTGCACATTGACAGAGTAGGTTGCTGCATAGTCACCAAACAATTCTACCATGGCAGCTTGGACATTCTCTAAACACTTCTTTCCATTATCTTTATCGTACAGTTCCTCAAACTGGTATGGCATATATTCCAACTTATCTCTTGGGTCCAAGATATTTGCAAAGAAGATCAAGGAATTCATTTTTTCAGGATCTCCCCAATACTTTTCAAATTTACTTTTCATTTGGGATCCCATAACCTAAGAAAACAATGAATTAAATACAAATAGCCATACACAAATTCATAAATAATCAGATTAACCACTGAAAATGATAAAAATATAAAATCATTACCTCTGTAGCACTACCAGCAACAATCATGCTACTCAACATGCAACTCAAATCAGATATCTCACTGAAGAAACTGTTAGAGGTGACATATAGAGAACCAGAGATTCTAATTGTCATCTCATAAAACCCTTTCAACAGAACTACCAAGCATTCAACAGAAGTCCAGTCCAGAAAAGAAGGGACAGAATCACCCAGATCAGCAACAAATGAGGGCTCATTCAATGAATATGCATCAAACACAGCCTTGTATTGTATGGCAGTGCTAAGCATCATGTAGGTGTTGTTCCATCTTGTTGGAACATCTAGTTGTAAAGAACTTTTGGCTTCCACCCCAAGCAGTTCTGCAAGATCTCCGAATTTTTTGAGTCTTGCAGGTGAGTTCCTCATCCATCTAACAGAATCCCTCACCTTCTTAACAGAACTATCTGCAAACCTTAACCCATCTTGGACCACCAAGTTTAAAATGTGGGCTATGCACCTCATGTGAATGTACTTACTCCTAACAGTGGTTGCACCCCATGACAACAATTTGGACTTAAAAAAACTCATAGCAGTATCATTGGAAGAAGCATTATCTACAGTGACAGAAAAAACATCCATAATCCCCCAGTCAATCAAACAACTTTCTAATGCCTTGGCTATATGCTCACCCTTGTGAGAAGAAATAGGGACAAAGGATATGATTTTCTTATTCAGCTTCCACTGATCATCTATGAAATGGGCTGTAATGCACATATAATTGATCCTCTGCACAGAGGTCCAGGTATCAGTAGTCAAACTGACCCTTTGAGTGTTAAGTCTAAACAGCTTCTTAAGGTTTAATCTTTCATCAAGGTAAATTTGGTAAATGTCCCTTGAAATTGTCCACCTAGAAGGTATACAAAATCTAGGGCAAGTAATCAAAATAAACCTTTTAAACCCTTGCCCCTCCACAAACCTAAATGGAAGCTCATCAATAATTATCATCTCACATAATGCCCTCCTAATGGCTTCCTGATTGAAAACCCAAGTCCCTAACTCCCCAACAACCCCTTCAGAACCCCCTTGAGTATCAAATGTTGTCACAGCAGTGAAAGTAAGAAGTGACTGCCTAGTCTCCTTAGAATGTGGATTTTTTAGACAGGTCAACATATGATTTCTTAAAGAGGTAGTACCATGCTTTTTACTCTCACAGTGATAGACTTTAGCACAGTATATACATTTCCTCTTTATTACTTTGTTTTCAGAATTAAAGATCTTTTCAAAATGTTCCCAGACCTTAGATCTAGACTCCACATTCTTCCTCTTCTGTGCAGGAACAGCAGGATTAACCTCAGGCTGCTGAGGGGCATTTGTCTCAGTGCCTTGGGTTACTCCTCCAGGCCCCTCCTCAGTTGAGGGTGGAAGTCCAGATTGACTCATTTGAGTGGCACTTTCCATCTACAAAGATGGGTACCAGTTTTCATTTTTCAGTTTGTGTGAGTGTGACATAACACATTAACACTAAAAATACCACATAATAAACAATTAAACATACAAAGATATCCAGAATCAGACACAATCACATAGTAGTTTGTGTCATCATTTTTCCAGATTTAACAATTAGCAATTAAGGGTCATACATCCATAAACTAATAGACATAATAACATATACAATTATACAAACAAATCCAGATTCAGGAACTCAGTCCAGATCATCATTATCTGGATTTGAGTTAATTGTAAAGGGCTTCCACCAATAAATGGAAATTCCCACACTGGAGATTTCACATTTAAGCCTTTAACTCGGATTGGTAGATTACAAATTTACAAGGCATAAAATCCAGATTTCACAAAATCAACAGTTAGAAATCAGTTTGTAAAAGGCTTCTACCAATAAATGGCATAATATATGAATATATCACCAAATATTCATCACAGACTCATAGTAGAAGAGACAGAACACAATACATCTCAGTATCTCACATAAATGAAGATATATAAAACTAGGGTTTTCGATTTCACAATGCTTTCTCAAAATATTCACCACATATCATCATAATAATATAATATAACACAAAATCACAAACATTTTCTTAATATAAACTAGGGTTTACGATTTACTTGATTTCTCCCAAATAATCCCCGGAGAACAAGGGTTTCTAATCACCAGTTCACCACGGTCCATGGCTTCCACCACTTAGACTCTCAGAGACAGAGAGTAAGAGATTAGAGATTGCAACGCTTCGATTTTGAGAACCCTGAGATTAGACAATAGAGTTTAAGAGATTAGAGATTACAGATTAGAGAGTAAGAGATTAGAGATTAGAGATTAGAGAAATAGAGACTAAGATATTAGAGATTAAAAACTTAGTAGCTTACGGATTTACAGAATCGGAGATGAGTTTTGAGAGAATTGAGACTCTGAGAGAGTGAGAGTCTGAGAGAGTTGAGAGTGAGAGTCGAGAGATGAGATCTCAAACCCTAGGTCAGCTGCGCAGATGAGAGAATGAAGACCAAGTGGTGGAAGGCATGTATATATACCTTGATGGAACGACGCTGTTTAATACAAAGCCTTAGTGAACCCTAGGATAGTTCGAATATTCGGACGGGTCGGTTGGCAAAATAGCATACCCCACCCGAACCATCTAAACCGACGATGTTTTGCATAGCGGATCGGGTATGGGGAGTCGGGTTCGGGTAATGCCGGGTTGGTCTCTCTCGGTCGTCGGGTCGGTCGGTTTGATCGGGTGGGTCGGGTTGTGCACAGGCCTAATTGGATTGGAGGATGAGCTTTTACTTTTCAGGGTTACATTTTTATTGTGATCCTTGAATAAGTTTTAAAGCTTAGGATGTTTCTATGAATTTTTCCTATGATTACATAAAAATGAAAGGTCTTATTTATAGCGGTAGGATATAAGAGTTTTGATAAGCTCAAACTCTTTTGATATTATCTAATTAACAAATTAGATTATATCAATATTATTCAAAATATATCAAATATATTCAAATATACTAATATTGATAAATAATCATATTTATCAAAATTTCAATGTCAACACGTGCGCTTGAAGGTTAAAAACATGCACTAGAATGAAAAAAAAAAAAGATTCAATGAAATGTTAAGTAATTTTTTTTGTTTTGTTTTGTTTTTAATACAATAGTAAGACACACATGTATTTGTAGGCATGAAATTGAGCACTTGAAGGCATAAAGAGGATTACTAGAAGACAAAGAAAAAAAAAACACTAAAAGGGATTCGAAGAAAAATTAATTGTGCACTCTTAGAAAGAAAAACATGCACTTGAAGGCTACAAAATGTGCACTTGAAGGCCAAATTTTTGCACTCAAAGGCACAAAGATGTGCACTCAAAGGAGAAACTATGTACTGAAACAAAATTAAAACAGATGCACTCGAAGAAGAGAACTATGCACTTGAAGAAGGAAACATGTGCACTCGAAGAAGAAAAAATATGCACTCGAATACAAAGACAATCTGACTTACTTACTCAAAATTACAATAAAACCACCACGTGTTTTTTAATTAGTCTTCAATCTAGGTTGTTGATTTGGACTAGATCTAAGGTTGAAATTTAACTCTATTTTTTACCTAAAGTATTTCTTCACATTTGATCCTTAACTCTCATGCGAATGGTCGTCCAGGAGAGAACTGAGAATCATTCAGCACGCGTCATGTGTCATTTGGTGCATGTAAATGTGTTATATGTGCAAGTAGTTGGTACACCTTTGCAAGTAAAAAGTGCAGGTAAAATCACTTACAAGTGCACCTACTTCCACCTACAAATGCATGTAATTTTGCCTTGTTAGCATTCATTGATCTGAGTTCGTTCTGTTTGGAATCGCTTTTGTTCTTACGGAGGAGTTCAGCGGGTAGTTAGTACCCGTGAAAGCCACCTGCAAACATTCATGCACCTAGGTGCACCTACTTATAACTATAGGTGCACCTAGTTATAACTATAAGTGCACCTATATTTGGACATGTGGCGTGCACTGAATGGTACTCGGTTCTCTCTTGAGTGGGCAATTTGTATCTGAACGCGATCTTATATATATATATATATATATACATACTAGTTTTTCTACGCGCTTTGCGCGAATAGGATAATGCCCAATACTTATTTTTAAATAAATATTTCAAAGTATATCAATGTAATATTATATAGAAGATGTTCATGCATAGGTAAATAAATGTTGAATTTGTTTATTTAAATCAGTAATTTAAAGTATATAAATGCAAGATAATATATGAGAGATTGATTATATATAACTATCACAAAAATAAATGTTTGCAACTTTGTAATAACGTTAATCTAAGTACTGAGTCTAAAAGCAATAGTTTAAATAAATACTATTTTTGGTTTAAATTTTTTTAATTCTCTTTTAGGTAGCATTGTGATACTGCTAATTCTACGTAAGCAATATAAAATAAACCCGAGACCAATTAAAGCAAGTAAATATCTTTATTGATCACGGTAGAGGCCCTAAGTACAATCTACTTGGTTGCTCTGAGTGCCGACTGACTGCGGTCGGGATTCTCTAGTAACAACCTATCGATCGTCCAAAAGTCCTCTACACTGTAGCTACTGTGGGTATTTATAGCCGCTGTGCCGGGGACAAGAATCCGGTCGTTCGGCATGTTCTCCACGTAGCCACCACGTGTCATCCTCCCGGGTGCCCTGTCTGTCGTCGTAAAGAGCTGCCACGTGTCCTTTGTCAGCTCTCTCGCCAAAGGGCTACCGCTCGGTGGTCGACACTACTGCTCGGGCAACTCCCGGTCGGACCCCGACCGGGTTCTTCACATGAAGCCCGACCTGTTACCTGCAAAACAAAGAGAGAAAAACAAAGGCAAGTCGGTCGGGGTAAAGCTTATGTCGGTCGGGATATTCCCTACCAAAAGCCCCCCAGCCCGGGCCTTTTTGACCGTTCGGGAAAAAACGGGACGGGATGAAGAAGCCCAAACGTCGGCCATCAAACCGACCGACCAGCTGTCATTCCTTCCCTCGCCATGTGTCGGCCACTGCCGGCCTCTGCGACTGCAACGGTCGCCTCGGAATCAGCGCTGGTCGTGTCACGCAAGTGGATTGGTTTCCCGCCTAAATGTTCTCCTATAAATAGGCCCTTGAGGCCTTCAAATGAACTTTCCTCAATCTTCTGATCCAATCGGCACCCTCTAAGAGTCCCGAGCGAGCTACTCAGCAGATCAACCGAGCAACTTATCTACCAACTTCAGCCAAGTTTCTCCAATCGGTAAACTCTCTATTCTTTAGCTTTTACTTTGCTTTTAGCTTTGTGTAGGAGTAGGATAGAACTAACTTCGAACTAACTTCCCGAACCCTGTACTAACCCCGACCGACCTTTAGGTAGAAAACATGTCGGATTCGGATAGCCAGAACGCCTCGATCGCAGACTACGACAACACGATCGAGCACAGCAGCGAAGAGGTGGACATCATGTCCTATTCTCCAGAGGTCGAGCAACGAACACAACACATACCCGACCGAGCCCCCGAGCCAAAAGGGTCATCGAGCTCGTCGGGGACATCGGGGTCGAGCTCCAGCAGGTCGGGGAGCGACGAAACGTCCACGAGCGGACGAAACTCCCCGGATGAAGGCGTTAGGGAAACGCCTACAAGGGTAATAGGGGATTACCCTCAGGTCGAGCCCGAGGAAGGACATCGGGCGAACGAAGCCGAAGCGGACGAGGAAGACCCGGCCGGGCCGGCATCGCCGAGCGGGGACGGGTTTGAGTTCCTCAATAGCGAGAGCGTCGAAGGCCAGACGAGCTTGCTGACAAAAGGAGAAGCAAGCAGAATCGCGGCAACTCTCGCTGGTCGGGTCGAGTTCGACACCAGCAGGCAGCTCGGAAATATCATCGAGCGGCATCAGGGGAAGTGGATCGGGATGCATTACGATTCGTTAATGGCACCGATCACGTTCCCCTTCTCCAGCCTCCTCACCGCATTCCTGGGCTATTACCAGGTTATGCCCGGGCAGATTTGCCCGAACGCGCACCGTATGATCGCGTGTTTCCCCCAGATCTGCAGTCGGCACAACTTAGCCTGCACCATGGAACTCTTCAACTTCGTCTACCAAGTGAAGGTGCTGGCGGCCGCGTACGGGGGTGGATTTTTGATGACCCAGTCCCGAGCGGATAAATGCTCGATTGAGGGGCTACCCGGGAACAACCGGGGGTGGAAGAACCGGATCTTTTCTGTAAAGTACGATCCGTGGATCCTCCCGGTCGAGAGGGTCTGGAGTCAACGCTTTCGAAAGCAAGTCACCCCAATCGAGACCCAGGCCCTCATAGATGCTGTGACCAAGATCTCGAGCGAGATTTATGAATATCACATCTTCAAATCGCCCGAGTGCTACGAAGCGGCCCGGCTGCCCGAGCCGGTCTACGATCTGACCGAGAAATACAAACCCGAGCCGGCGGGTGTA